ACAAAAAATGAATTCTTGGGGTTCTTTGATATGCTGAATCTAAACATGTGTTTAGATTTTTGATTATGGGCCCAGTTTTCAAGTTGGTCCAAGTTGGGGTCCAAAATTAAACTTTTTTTGATTTCAACAAAAATTGAATATATGGGGTTCTTTGATATGCTGAATCTAACCATGAATTTAGATTTTTTATTTGTGGGCCCCACTATCAAATTGGTTCATATTGAGGTCAAAAGGGTCCAAAATTAAACTTTGTTTGATTTCATCAAAAATTGAATTATTGGGGTTCTTTGATATTCCAAATCTAACCGTGTATTTAGATTTTTAATTTTAAGTCCCGTTTTTTAAATTGGTCTACATTAAGGTCCAAAGGGTCCAAAATTAAACTTAGTTTGATTTTAGCAAAAATTGAATTCTTGGGGTTCTTTGATATGCTGAATCTAAACATGTGTTTAGATTTTTGATTATGGGCCCAGCTTTCAAGTTTGTCCAAGTTGGGGTCCAAAATTAAACTTTGTTTGATTTTAACAAAAATTGAATATATGGGGTTCTTTGATATGCTGAATCTAACCATGTATTTTGATTTTGGACATTGGACCATAATAGGTAAATTAAAAAAATTCAAGTTCTTAGACCACATTCTTTCTGTGTCAGAAACCTATGCTGTGTCAAATATTTAATAACAATCCAAATTCAGAGCTGTATCAAGCTTGAATGTTGTGTCCATACTTGCCCCAACTGTTCAGGGTTCGACCTCTGCGGTCGTACCAAGCTGCGCCCCAGCGAAGCATTTTATTATAGATAGAGATAAACTGTAAACAGCAATAATGTTCAGCAAAGTAAGATCTACAAATAAGTCAACTTGACCAAAATGGTCAGTTGACCCCTTAAGGAGTTATTGCCCTTTATAGTCAATTTTTAACCATTTTTCGTAAATTTTTGTAATCTTTTACAAAAATCTTCTCCTCTGAAACTACTAAGACAAATTTAACCAAACTTGTCCACAATCATCATTAGGGTATCTAGTTTAAAAAATGTGTCCGATGACCCCGCCCGCGAACCAAGATGGCCGACATGGCTAAAAAATAATACATGGGTAAAATGCAGTTTTTGGCTCATATCTCTGAAACCAAAGCATTTAGAGCAAATCTGATGAGTATATAATTGTTCATTAGGTCAAGATCTATCTGCCCTGAAATTTTCAGACCAATCAGGCAACACGTTGTTGGGTTGCTGCCCCTGAATTGGTAATTTTAAGAAAATTTTGCAGCTTTTGGTTATTATCTTGAATATTATTATAGATAGAGATAAACTGTAAACAGCAATAATGTACAGCAAAATTAGATCTACAAATAAGGCAACATGACCAAAATTGTCAATTGACCCCTTAAGGAGTTATTGCCCTTTATAGTCAATTTTTTACAATTTTCATAAATTTTGTAAATTTTTACAAAGTATTTTCCACTGTAACTACCGGTGCCAAGTTCATTATAGATAGAGATAATAGTAAGGAGCAAGAATGTTCAGTAAAGTAAGATCTACAAACACATCACCATCACCAAAACACAATTTTGTCATGAATCCATCTGTGTCCTTTGTTTAATATGCACATAGACCAAGGTGAGCGACACAGGCTCTTTAGAGCCTCTAGTTTGTTATTATTTTGAATATTATTATAGATATATATAAACTGTAAGCAGCAATAATGTTCAGCAAAGTAAGATCTACAAAAAAGTTGATATGACCATAATTGTCAATTGACCCCTTAAGGAGTTATTGCCCTTTAAAGACAATTTTACACAATTTGTTCATCAAGTTTGCTAACATTTAAAAATCTTCTCTGAAACTACTGGGCCAATTACCTTCAAACTTTAACTAAATGTTCCTTAGGGTATCTTGTTTACAAATTGTATCCGAAGTTTGTATCCATCGATAAACATGGCCGCCATGGCTAAAAATAGAACATAAGAGTCAAATGCAGTTTTGGGCTTATATCTCAAAAACTAAATCTTTTAGAGCAAATGTGACATGGGGTAAAATTGTTTAATTGGTCAAGATCTATCGGCCCTGAAATTATCAGACGAATCGAACAATCCATTGTTGGGTTGCTGCCAATGAATTGGTAGTTTTAACAAAATTTTGCAGTTTTTATACGACCGCAAAAATTTAAAAATTTTTGGTCGTATATTGGTATGACGTTGGTGTCGTCGTTGTCGTCCGAAGACACATTGGTTTTCGCACTCTAACTTTAGTTTAAGTGAATGGATCTCTATGAAATTTTACCATAAGGTTCAATACCAAAAAAGGAAGGTTGGGATTGATTTTGGGGGTTATGGTACCAACAGTTAAGGAATTAGGGGCCAAAAATAAGCAATTTTGTAACTTCCTTACATAACTTGTGTGTTAGTGTATGGATCTCTCTGACATTGTACCACAAGGTTCCATATCACAAAGGGAATACTGGGATTGATTTTGGGGGTAATTGCCTCAAAATAAAAGGAATTAGGGGCCAAAAAAGGGGCAAAAATCAAGCAGTTTTCTAGTTTCATGATAATCACTTGTGTGTAAGTGTATGGATCTTTCTGAAATTGTACTACAAGGTTTCATATCACAAAGGGAAAGCTGGAATTGAGTTTGGGGGGTAATTGCCTAAAACGTTTAGGAATAAGGGGCCAAAAATAAGCATTTTTCTAGTTTCCAGACAATAACTTGTGTTCAAGTGTATGAAATTTCTGAAATTGTACTGCAAGGTACCATACCACAAAGGGGAGGCTGGGATTGATTTTGGGGGTAATTGCCTCAAAATAAAAGGAATAAGGGGCCAAAAAGGGGCAAAAAACAAGCATTTTTCTAGTTTCAGGACAATAAATTGTGTGTTAGTGTATGGATCTTTATGAAATTGTACTACAAGGTTCCATATCACAAAGGGAAAGCTGGGTTTGATTTTGGGGGTAATTGCCCTAAACGTTTAGGAATTTGGGGCCAAAAAGGGGCATAAAAACAAGCATTTTCTAGTTTCCAGACAATAACTTGTGTTCAAGTGTATGGATCTCTCTGAAATTGTACTGCAAGGTACCATACCACAAAGGGAAGGCTTGGATTGATTTTGGGGGTAATTGCCTCAAAATTTTAGGAATTAGGGGCCAAAAGGGGCAAAAAACAAGCATTTTTCTAGTTTCAGGACAATAACTTGTGTGTAAGTGTATGGATCTTTATGAAATTGTACTACAAGGTTCCATATCTCAAAGGGAAAGCTGGGTTTGAGTTTGGGGGTAATTGCTCTAAACGTTTAGGAATTTGGGGCCAAAAAGGGGCCTAAAAACAAGCATTTTTCCAGTTTCCAGACAATAACCTGTGTTCAAGTGTATGGATCTCTCTGAAATTGTACTGCAAGGTACCATACCACAAAGGGAAGGCTGGGATTGAGTTTGGGAGTGATGAATCATAAGGGGGTTCAAAAAATTTGGGGAAGGGATTTTTTTTTTCTTTAAAATTTTCCATTTTAAATTGGTTATTTCTGATTTATATATAAAAGCAAATAATAATATGGTTTGAATAGGTAAATTAAAAATTTTTAAGTTCTTAGACCACATTCATTCTGTGTAAGAAACCTATGCTGTGTCAAATATTTAATCACAATCCAAATTCAGTGCTGTATCAAGCTTGAATGTTGTGTCCATACTTGCCCCAACTGTTCAGGGTTCGACCTCTGCAGTCGTATCAAGCTGCGCCCAGCGAAGCATTTTATTTGTTATTATTTTGAATATTATTATAGATATCTATAAACTGTAAGCAGCAATAATGTTTAGCAAAGTAAGATCTACAAAAAAGTTAATATGACCACAATTGTCAATTGACCCCTTAAGGAGTTATTGCCCTTTAAAGACAATTTTACACAATTTGTTCATCAAGTTTGCTAACATTTAAAAATCTTCTCCTCTGAAATACAGGTGAGCGATTCAGGCTCTTGAGAGCCTCTTGTTATTGGTGGTATACCAATTTTCGTGGGTTTCGTGGGTCACAGCGAACCACGATTTTAAGAATTCAACGAAGAATAATCTCGAGAATGTGTATGGAGACGGATGTTTATTTCCGGTTATGTTATGCAGATCTAGTATAGTGTTGACTAGCGATAAACATTGTAACATAACACATGTTTTTATTGAAAGAAAATACAAGTATTTTGATTAAATCAATAATTAATATATCGAATATCAGTGATAATTTACTTTTTAAAATTGATTAAAACTGTTCATGGAAAATAACTGCAAGTTGTTAATTACCGTGTCATAGTTTGGTTTACTGATGATTAAAAATCCATAGGATTAAGTACGGGATATTGCCCGTAGGAAATATTGTTTATGACCGGAACATTTATTTTCACACCTTTTACTTATATGACTGTTTATTATATCGTGATTAGGGAACTGAGCTTTCAATCATAAGAGTTTTGAATGCCTTATAAAATTCCGACAAGAATTTATAAATTGTAAAACAAACAAATAATTAGTTGTCTGTGTCCATTATTGTAATAGTAGTTTTCAATGGACACTTTAACCTAGAATGACCAAGCGATGATTTTGACAATTCAAAACTTTTTCAATGAATTCCTTCTTTTTTGTTTGTTTTATTATTGATCAAACAAAGGAGGTTATATGATCTCCTAAATCAAAAAGAAATCCACGAATTACGTATCTGATTTTTTTTTATTTTGTTTTTTTTTTTGTAATCAGTGATCCACGAATTTACGTATACCACAAACAAATTTTTTTCTCTATCCACGAAAATTGATACCCACGAAAATAAATGAATCCACAGTATGATTTTAAAATTTTTAAGTATGATATTTAACATTTTACATTTTTCTTAATCAGCAGAAAATCTGGTGTAAAGTTTTCAAACTGTAAACACTTCCTGTACAGATTCAAGCATAATATGAATTAAAGTGCATATATTTTATTATGGATCTGAATGGTAATGTTACTTTTGCTTTAATGTGTCAGGTGATGATTGCAAGTAGTAAAAGAGAAGGATCCATCAGAGACCCAAAAGAAGATGAGAAGAATCTGAGATTGTTCGTAATTGTACCCAAGTCATATAGCAGGGATGATCTCAGAAAGGAGTTTGAGGTATAAATAGTTTTAAATTTTTATGGCCCCGCCACAAAGTAGTTGAGGCTATATAGGTTTACCCTTATCCTTCATTCTGTCATTCCTCAATGAACAGTTATGCAGAATTTTATTCTATCTGCCTTCACATATTTAGCTGATTTTTAGTATGTGAGTCTACTATTATGAGTTACAGATTGAGTTTACGCTTGGTTCCGCTCTGCTGATTTTTGCCAAAATTACAGGCTTTGGACTTTGAAAATTTTGTGAAAATAACAGTTATACAGATTTTTTTTCTTAACGCCTTCACATATTGAGCTGATTTTCTGTAAGTGAGTCTACTATGATGAGTTACAGATCCAGTTACGTTTGGTTCTGCTCTGCTGATTTTTGCTGAAATTACAGGCTTTGGATGGAAAAATTTGTGAAAATAACTGTTATACAGATTTTTTTCTAAACGCCTGTAGATATTGAACTGATTTTCAGTATTTGACTCTACTATGATGAGTTACAGATTGAGTTTATGTTTGATTCTGCTCCATGTTTTTTTCCTGAAATTATGGGCTTTGGACTTTTGTGAAAATAGCAGTTATATGGACTTTCATTCTCAAATTTCCACTCTTAAAAATGGCTTCAATGCAAGCAGGGCCATTAGTGTCGTCACTGTCATTCCTACACTTCTAGTTATATTTTGAATTAAAATCAAAGTAAATTGCTGTCATAAATGTATAAGCCCCTGAATGCATTATAAGCATAAATACAAGGACTACCCTCACAGAAAAACTGTATTTATGGATAGGTTTATTGAAGTGATATAAAAAATAACAGACTAATGATAATCTTTGGTTATTTCAGGAATTTGGTGATATTGATTCTGTATCCTTGGTAACAGACAAGTATTCAGGTGCCAACAAAGGATTTGGATATGTTAGGTTTCATCGAGCATACCATGCTGCTCTGGCTTTTGAAGGGTGTGATCCAGGTTAGTGTTACATTCATCGCATAAAGAACATGTAAATTAAAAGTATCTCACGGTAGATCTTCGCAAACAATGCTCACATACTGCCTACATATATACATGCATTGATATATATGTTTATGATAACAGAATTATGTATTCTAATTGAAAAAAATCTGAGACAGAATTTTAACATGATAGTTCATAAGGTAACAGTCCACAGATAGACTTGTCACATCATTTTGAATCAGCAATTACCAGTCTACTCTTTAAAATGGATTGTTTTGGGCGGAGAACAGCAAATACCAATTTTCTAGTCATTGGTTTGACCTGTCATGGAATGGAACCCACAAGCTCCTGCACTTGAAGCAAGTGTTAGATCACTAAGGTGGTTCAAGTGATAGGAAACTACAGGATTTAATTTAATTGATTTAATGATGCAAAATATACATACCCTTTATTGTCTACAATGGAAAAGCATCCATACAATGTTGCAAATTCTACCCACCACAAATCCATAGAGACTCAAACATGAGAAACCAACACCATCATCAATATATTAAAAAGATACATAAGGAGAGAGCAACAACCACTGATTAATTCCTCACACATGACTGGCACATAAATATGAAGGTTAAATTAATTTAGTTAGTATTCAACCAACTCTCCCTCACTGATAAAAGAACTAAAAATATTCTAAAAAAACCTCAGTAACAATAAAAAAAAAATGCCACAAATCACCAGAAACCAAGAGTACCAAGATTTCAGATACCACCCTACATGCATCTATAAATGATAGCAGAAGCAATGTACCACACACCACACAGATGCCGATTATTATTATTTTGATTATTATTTAAGTTTTGCATTCATTTGCATTATTTGACAACCCGGCATACCAAGGTATCCACTTCATGGACTCTACCGAAAGGATTCACACAGGCGTTGGTTCACCAGACGGAGTTTAATAAAAAAAAAAGATCAATTATTATTTAAACCAAAATATTATTTTAAGTTGATATTTACAGACATCTTTGTTACATGCTGAACATTGCTTGAAACAGTGTATTTGATATTTTAAAGAAAAACAATCATGATAATTAAAAAGTTCCATAAAATTGAGAATGAAAATGGGGAATTTGTGTCAAAGGGACAACAACCCGACCAAAGAGCAGAAAACAGACCAAGGCCACCAATAGGTCTTCAACACAGCAAGAGGGTTGCAGGCTTCAGCTGGCCCCTAAACAAAAATTTGTATTAGTTCAGTGAAAATGGATGTCACACTAAACTCTGAAATATAATAACATATAATATAACATGTTTGTTTTAGCATTTAAGCCTAAGTATGCTGATCCCAAGCCTCAAAAAGAGCGAGAACAAGACCTAATGTTTGATCCAAGAGAAGTTTATCCTGGTTATCAGAGCGGATACAGGGATGTCAGGGAGTCTAGAGGGAGTCGTTATGAGTCTGACAGAGGAGGTCGGTATGAAGATAAAAATTATCGAAGAGATATGCGTGGTGTGGGAGATTCAATGCAAGGTATTAATGGGTTTTCCCATATCAATATATGTTAAGCATTATGTTATTTACATGTGTAATAAACTTGAAATGTAGGTCTGAAGTACAAATTCAGAATAGGAGATCTCCACTTGAGAAAATTATAATGAAGCCATAATCTACCTTGTGCACTAATTAGTGGCAGTCCTAGATTTCAATTCTGTCACAACATTTGGAACTTGGTAGATAGTTCTCAACAGGCATGAAATTCTTGACACTTGACAATAAGCAACAAATTGGCAATAAAAAAAATTATCTGAAGGAAATAAGTGTTATCTCAGCATTTCAGAACTTCTTTTAGTGCAAAGCTTGTCAACAACATTTTAGACTTTTTCTCTGATAGCCAATTTATAGTTTCCACAAATGGTTGATTATTTTTTCATAATCAACATGTGGTTGGATTGATCTCAGTTCTTCATTGGTCAACATTCAAGTATGAAATCAATTGAAATAAGTTTTTGTTTCGCCTTGATGGAGTCAAAAAGCGAGACATGGGTATGCTGTTTCCGGCGTCTGCGGCGGAGGCATCGTCAACAATGCATTAGTTTGTGATTAGGTCTAGTTTATGGTGAACCACTAGTGGTAGGTCAATGATATTTGGTATGCAGTTGTATTAGCATTGGCACATCTCATTACCATGAAGGTTATTTGGCCCCGCCCCCTCAGTCATGGTCTATGACTTTGAAACTTTGCTTAGTTTACATGTATAAGTTTGTGATTAGGTCAGTTTATGGGTAACTGTTATTGGTAGGTCAGAGATAATTGGTATGCAGTTGTGTAAGCTTTAGCACGTCTCATTTCCATGGAGAATTTTTGGTCCGTACCCCTCAGTCATGGTCTACTGACTTTGAAACTTTTGCCTAGTTTACATGTATTAGTTTGTGATTAGGTCAGTTTACGATGAACCACTAATGTCAAGTCAATTATTTTTGGTTTGCAAATGTATTGGCATGTGCAAGTTTCATTTCCATAGAGATTATATAGCCCATACCCTCATCATGGTTCATTGACTTTGAAACTTTTACAATGTTTGTGTTTAGTTTTGTTTAAAGGGAACAACTAATGAAAAGTCAATGGTATTTGGTATGCCGTTATATTTAGCATTGGCACATCTCATTTCCATGGAGATTGTTAAGCCCTGTACCTTCAGTCTTGGTTCATTGACTTTTAATATTTGTATAACTTACATATTAAAGTATTGTTATTTTAATTTCAACATTTGCATTATCAAAATAACAAATATGTGAGACATATCTCTGTGTTAACAGTTTATCTTGTTTTTCTGTGATTTTGCCATTGTGTTTGTCACTAAAAAGGCAAACATGCCTGATGACATCTCATAGAAGAAACAAAATTGTTTGCAGATCATTGAAAAAGAAAGATAAAGTTTGCCTAAAAATCATAAGAGAAACAGATTCCACCATCGTATCTCATGCAGAAATTCTTCATGAATTTTTTCTGATTAGAAGAAAGTGAATACATTACTTTTATGTGTGGAATTAAGCAGAAATTTTTGAGAATGGAAAGAAAATGTTTTGATAACAGGTCATGATTAAAGAGTAATAGTTATAGAATAAGTTATCATAGTTCAAATATAAAAAAAATATTGAGTGAAAGAAAACATTAATTTTCAAATACACATAGCCTATGACTTAATTATCAGTGTTGTTCGTTCATGAGTTGTATAGTTTTTGATGTATGAATTGTTGGATAAGTTATTCTTTTTATTACATTTACCATTGACTCTTTAAAGGAAACTGCAAGGAACTAATTCTTTTTCTATGCATTCATCATTGACATTGTCTTGACAACACCCATTGTTATATATGACCTCAGAGGAGTGATGTCTTGACAACGCCCATTGTTATATGACCTCAGAGGAGTGAAATTATTGGTTTTTTATTTTACTGGGAAATCACTTCATTGCGATCATTGTAGTAATACTTATTATTTAAATGTTTTGATCACAGGTATGAAAAGAGGACATTCCGAGATGATGGATGACTTTGGTGGAAATATGGGAGGAGGAGGAGGTTTCTCTGTGTGTAAGTCACCTATACAAATTTGACCATTATGCTTCTAGACTTAAAGCAAGCAACAATCAATCAACTATTGTATACTGTGGATTCACTATTATTCATGGGATACATATTGTTATGGCTGTTGTGGGTATAGGTGAACCATATACAGTAACTGCACTTATTTTCGTGAATGGTGTATTTCAAAAAAATTGTCTGTTACTATACACACAATGTGTGTAAATCAATTGGTAACAACTACAATAGAAAAGTCATATGGTTCAAGGTATTTTTGAGTTATTATTGTTTCTTTGATCTTTAATTGGTTTCTACTTGTCGCATGTTGATATTAATCTAGTTTGTTAATTTAAGGGATTACAGGGTTGGGGATGTAAACATGTCATGTCATCGATGTATGGTCAAATTTACGTGCATAGATGAACAGTATGTTTTCAGTTGAAAGGTTGGATTTAAATTCGCGATAATATACCAACGGTGAAATTCGTGAATATAAATACACCGTGAAAATAAACACAATTACAGTATTTAAATGTTCAGCGTGTAAATTTTCAATAATCTTGTAAGCAGACTGTGCCAAAACCTCGAAAACAAATATCCACGCAATCCACCAACAATTAGTACACATGAAAATAATCCACAGTATTAACATCTATTTTAACATCAGTAAGTCATGATCTAAAGGCTGCTAAGCAATTAACATGGAATTAGTCCAAGTTTGTTTTGAGGCCTGACTGCCTTTTTAAGGACTTGGACATCAGAGTGCAGCCAATATAGAAAACATGTAAATTTCTGACACAGACTAACTTTCAAGATTCATTGTTACAGATGAGAAATGAACATCTTGGTATACCTGGATGGGTACAGCCAATTTTAACGAACCATTCAGTTTATTCAATAATGCTGCCAACCAACCAGCATGACTTCCTATACTATGATGAAAATTGTGAAATTGAAAGTCATCAAGTCAAGGCAGGCAAAAAGTTGCAGACTTAATTGTTTTAAGAACAGTTACGGGTACTCACTATGGATGTATCTTATTTCAGCAAGCAGTCCATTAGACATCTTAGAGAGATACCCTAGTACAGGATCAACCCGACTTCATATTACAGCTCCTATTGGATTATCCCAGGGTTACCTAACACGCCTATTTAGCATCATCCCAGGACTTGAGTATTGTGACTTGAATGAAGCAACAGGTAATTTTTACACCTCTGGACTCAAGAGTAAGCTGATGTCATTTCTTTATATTCATTGTTGAATTCAAAATTTTTATGCAATTATTGTGAATAACTGTGTGTTCATTTCATTAACAGAGCATGAAATGAAAGGACTTCTAAGATGAAAGAAATTACTAGATGACATGGTGTTAGTATTTCCTACTCTGTCACAGTGCCATCTTTAGGTGTAATACCACCATTGATTTTCCCCTATTAGTCTTTGTTAAATTTGCACTTTTCAAAAAAATGTGCAGAATTTATCTTTGTTTCAAATAAAGAAATACTTGGCATGAGTAAAGTTTTATCCTGTCCAGTACTATAGAAAAAAATTCACATAACATTTCATTGCATATAAGAAAATAACCATCACTGGAAGTTAACCAATCAAATTTTCCCCCTTTTTTAACCTGTGTACAAGCTTTAGTAACCATGTAACCTCAAGTTTCCAAAATATTCTATAGAAACCCCAAATAAAAAAATAATGGTGCTTTGAAATACCCAAGATATATGTTTATGACCCAGAAATGTTTACAGCAGATTCCAACGAGTGTGTAGCTAATGGTAGAATCTTTGGTTAGCTTCCTTGCTAGCTCAAACATGAAATCATTATTAGTTAAGGTACATCCAGCCTTTGGGTGGAGTCAATAGTTAAGCAGAGAACCAATCAGAATTAAGTGACAGAATATAAACATTGTAAAACTAGTTTTACAAGTCATTTTTTAAAAATAAGTTTTCAATCTAAATTTAAAATTTAATGATAATTATTAAGATCATTCACAAGCATGTTGTAGGTGTGTTTGATTTGCCAATTTTATTTTGATAAATGGTGAAAAGTTAAATGAAAGCTGAAATTTCTAAAATGTTTTCTTCTTCGTCAGACATTACAAATAATAATTTATTTTACCTGTCTGTTAAATTTGTTACATCAAGTTAATAAAATGTAGTTGGATATGATTGACAAGTGCTGACCGTATTCACTTTTACACATACACATATGTTTACAATACACCCAGACAGGTAAAAAAACATTGGAAGGTGTTCAAAAGTACATATGACCTGATCATTTAATCTAGGTCAGATTAAATCGAACTGAAGTAGAGACATAAAAATTGGTCTTCATGGCTGCATTATTTATCTAAAACTAATAAGTAGTTAACAAACCAAGTGGATGTCCATAAACTCTGCAATATTTTCAATTCTAAACTGCAGTTGTTTGCTGGTTTTTTTTTCCGTTGCATTTTTATTGATATTAAAATGATATTAAGCATGTTAGCATGATATTAAGTAGTATGATAATTTTTCTTTTCTGTGTGAATATAAAAGATTTTAGTTCTAAAAAAATATGCATATATAAAGAAAATACATAACAATGTTTCATGCGGGGGGAATACACCAAAAGACATTAATTAACTAAACTGCCTATTCCCGGCATAAATATTTAAAAAAAAACAACGTGTCTCCGCTTCTGATTATTTGTAATAAAAAGATTTTTTAATTCAATCAAAGAGTAAGAAATGAAATTTCATTTGCAAAGTAGTCTCGGTAAACCTTTGTATGAAACATACATATATTATAAATAATAAACAGGCCATTGATATAAATGTTTTCATTGGATGATAATATAGCGCTGTGCTCCTCCCAATTTTAGGGTAATAATCATTTCATGGTTGAGCTAGCAAGGAAGCTAACCAAAGATTCTACCTTTAGCTACACACTCGTTGGAATCTGCTGTAACTGCAATGAAATGTAGGATCAATAACTTACAACTGTCAAATTCAAGGGAATATTTTTTTTCGACCTATTTTCGTATGCAACCGGATGTGACGTACTATGATTTGGTGGTATTACACCTAAAGAAGACTTTTTTGTTAAATAAACTGAATGTGACTTTTTTCCTTTGTAATACTGGTTATTTCAAGCATTCCTGTCAAGTTTTGTCATAATCAGTTCAATAGTTTGAGAAAAATCTAGTATAATGTAAGACGACATCTACAGCGATTTGAGCAAAATTTCTTCGAAAAATCCAAACCAAGCCGCATCATGATAGAATATAGTGTGGACCAATAAATGATCAAATATTTATCTCATCTGCCTACAAACAGTTGAATATGATACAAAAGATGACTTTAGGATGATACATACTACTAATGGACCTCTTTGTCTTCCTTATAAGGTCTCTTTTGGTCCATTTATACCTCTCATTTCCTCAAAATTTCTACTTTTTAGGCCAATAAATAAAAATTTTGGGGTAACTTTCACTCATTTATGATAGAAATGTTATAATAAATGATTAATTGAAGTATTCAAGCTGAATGAACTATCTGTACAAAAGTTTACTGTCTCCAAGGAGGTTTCAATAAGTCCTTACGTAAAACTTAAATTTACGCTGCGTTCCAGAGAGGGACATAAAAAGCTTCTCTTTTGGTGAATAATTTGTTGTTACTGCTTTAAAAATAATTTCATTTACTTAAAACTAAATATTTATTAAAGTATTTCTTAGGAAAAATTTTCTAGTATAGCAGAATATAAGAAATAAGGAGAAAAAGCTCCCCAAAACTCTAAGTATGGCTTGTTCTGTCAACTAATATTCATGGTAAAGTCCTATTTCAAGGAAATTTTCTCATAAAATGTGTTTTGGAGACTCAATCCACTCAGAATATTTCATTATTTGTAATATTTCACTTAAATAGCAAGAAATTTTAACACATGAGAGTACTCACAAGGTCAAAGGTGCATGTACAGCTTCCCATATTAGGTGTAATACCACCATTGATTTTCCCCTATTAGTCTTTGTTAAATTTGCACTTTTCAAAAAAATGTGCAGAATTTATCTTTGTTTCAAATAAAGAAATACTTGGCATGAGTAAAGTTTTATCCTGTCCAGTACTATAGAAAAAAATTCACATAACATTTCATTGCATATAAGAAAATAACCATCACTGGAAGTTAACCAATCAAATTTTCCCCCTTTTTTAACCTGTGTACAAGCTTTAGTAACCATGTAACCTCAAGTTTCCAAAATATTCTATAGAAACCCCAAATAAAAAAATAATGGTGCTTTGAAATACCCAAGATATATGTTTATGACCCAGAAATGTTTAACTGCAATGAAATGTAGGATCAATAACTTACAACTGTCAAATTCAAGGGAATATTTTTTTTCGACCTATTTTCGTATGCAACCGGATGTGACGTACTATGATTTGGTGGTATTACACCTTTAGGTTTTATCACTATCAGATGTGCCAGTATTTCTAAAGATTAATTTTCCTTTGCCTTTGATAAGGAGTTATAATATAACCTCTTGCTTGATTTGATTTTTTGTGCCAGTTCTGAAATTTCAACATGTTCAGTTTCTCTTAATTCTTGGGAAAAAATAAAAAAAGAATTTGCTTACTTACATTCACATACCCAACATATATATGTCAGGTTGATTAAAACTGAAATTTTTTTAGAAAATAAAAAAATCCTGATGCAATCAATAGCTGTTTTGTAATTTTTCCAGGACAAGCTTTTGCAAGATACACCAGCCCTCAGTGTGCTTCATATGCCAGAGATAAATTGCATGGTTTTGAGTACCCCATCGGTAGTCCCTTAGTAGTAAGATGCACAGATGAGCATCAAAGACCTCCTGATCTACGTTCTTTAGGACAGTCTAGCATGGGATTTGACAGGTATTCTGATTACAATTTAAAGCCTTTTAATGTTAACAATACATGTTTATTATAGCATATTATTGATACATTGCTTTCTTAATAGGCAGTTGATGATTTTTCTTTATTCTAATGTTTTAATTATACTGTGAACTGGTTTTAATGTAAGTTAATAACGTACCAGAAAAGAAAATCACTAGATAATGTTATTTTAGGAGGCTATTTTGACTATTTTAAATTTATTTCTGTACCTGAAAAATTAAAGGGGCATCAGCTGTCAAATTCATGTTCACCGATTTGACTCAAATTCTCATACTTGATTTATAACAATCTAAAACGTATATCCAAATTGCGAAAAAGTCTAAAATGAAAATTAACAATGCATGGACTGGATAATATGTATCAGCATTTCGTGTATGTTTTAGTCTACACGCCGTCTAATTAACCATGGCGTTTACCTCCAAAGACAGCTGACCCGATATAAATATAAATAGATAGTGAGGAGTGCAAATGGGCTTTTCTAGGTCTGTTTGATTCCTTATTACAGGTTTAAAAAAATATGTTAATCATCGTTTTAACCTGTTTAAGAATGATTTTTTGGGATGGAATCAGTCAGTGATATGGTTTACCCTTGTTTTACTTTCAATGTTGACATTCTTTTCCTTTTAATAGCTGAACAAGTCTAGTACATGCATAACCCATCTCCAGCTAAGGGGTTGAAGGTCACATGATAACAGATTCAAATGAGGTTGAATTATTGACTTGCCAATCAGTAATACATCAGCAATGTTTTTGAGATTATTTTGACAAATCTGGACCACACAGACTGCTTACAACAAAACATTATTTCAAAATTCCACTTTTATTAAGACTTGAAACAAAAAGAATGGATTTTAAAAGTTTTGTCGAAATGAAAGCTAATGCCTATTAATTCATTTAAATATTTTATCTAGATTAGCACTATATTTTATTTCCTCTAAATGTCTTATAGCTGTATAGTTTTACAAATCTTGGAAGCAAAACAACCTAGAATTTTTCATTTTTGGAAATTTAGAAGGTTTTATGTTCTCATAAAATTGTGACTTCACATTAAATTGGATAATAACCACAAGCAATTCAAAATAAATATTTTAAAAAGTTTTAATAAAACTTTAAATTATTGATTCAAATTGATTGATTGAAGTCTGCTTTATGTCCAGCAGAGAATATTACAAGCATATTTAGGATTATAACATGTTCATGAAATATGAGTATACTCTGTAAAATTCATCTCAAACAATACTTTCTCTTCAACAATTGTAAAAAAATTGTCTTAATTGTGACAAATGTTGGGAAGGCAATTTTTTTTACTGATTGGGTAAAGATTGCATGAAATGGATTGCATGAAATGCAATCAAAACCCTGTGGTACTGACTTGATATCTATATCTTCCAAGGTTCATCACTACCTTTGATAGTTCAAACAAAATAGTGCAGTGAAGTGATCATTATTTAGATCCTATCCAGTCAATGCCCTGCAATTTATTGATTTTACTTTGATATTTAAGTTACAACATGATGTGTATTTGATTTATTATACTTGTCAAGAAAACATCTTTTTTTATTAAAAATTACATAAGTAATGCATGATGTATGAATTTGTTATACTACAAATGTACAATCATGAACAAAGAAAGATAACTCCAACTCAAATTTTAACTTGCATAGCAAAATACAATTCAATGTTTTATTTAAAAATTCACAAAATTGCAAAATGAAAGCAATCTTTACCCTTCAGTGCTCACAAGCATTTTGATTTCTCTCCTGTCTTCTCATCAGTAAACATTTAAAGTTTTCTTATTTGAACCACTTCAGAAAAAGTAATTATCAATGTGTCGTGATAAATCAATGATATTTGGTGTACAGAAAATATTACTATCTTTTTAAAATTATATTTGTAGTTATGCTGGTTATGGAGGTGGAAAGACACAGGGGAATGACATGTTCAGAAGGGTTTGTATAATACTGTGTTTTGATTTTCATGACATTTTGGAAACAAAATCTAGAGGATGTTTTGAGAAAATAATATTATGGAAAAGCGTATCATGCCTTTTGTTGCTGTAAATGTATTGATATCTTCATGTGTTTGCGATTATATGGACTATGTAAAAGTTTTCTTTTGAATTAAAATTCCAGGTAATTGAAGTGATAACTTTTCATTTCACATGATATTGAAAGATATTTGCATAATCAAGATGACCAAGTCTAAAAATGGCATATTCTAACCTTTGCTTTGGCACAATTTGTTAAAAGTTTGTTTTGAAGTGAATTCTATGGATTTTGTAGAATGTGTAAACACTGTCTTGGACTCGAAAACATTATTTAAAGTCCTTCAGACTTTATTCAGTTTCTGAAAAAGTTTACACACATTTATATGATTTCATCAATACAGTACAATCTTGCCACCTTTAAATAAATAAAAAACAAAGCATGCCATACAGCCAGGCCCTCTGCATTAGATATATTTCTAGTCTCACCACACACAACAAAAAGCACACATGTCTTATGAAAAAAAATTTCAGAGAAGAGGCTATCAGAAAATAATCCTTAACAAAGCCATAGACACTGCAAGACAGAAGGATTGGCAGAGTTTACTACAAACCAAAGAAAAACTATGGATAATAACAATATCATGTATCATACATCACAACCCATACAATATGCCTATCAAGAAGAATATTTTAGAAACATACAAAATCAGGCAAGGCAAAATGATTTTCACACCCCAGAAAGCTCCAGTTTTACAAAAACTATTAATAAGGAGTGACATAAACTGACTTGCAAGAGACCCACTTCATCTGTCATTGTCGTCGTTGTAAACTTTTTCAAAGATCTTCTCTGAAACAACTGAATCAATTTCAGCCAAACTTTGGGTGAATATCCATGAATGATATCTGGTATAAAGTTTGTGTTTTCCCCCCGTCAGTCAACACACATGGCAGCCATGGCTAAAAATAAAACATCAAAGTAACATGCATTAATAGTCTTATATCTTGAAAACTATACTAGATAGAGAAAATCTGACAGGGGAAAAAAAAGCTCAGAATGTTGGTTATTGATTTGGGGATGTACGGCTGGCGTGCGGGCCGCTGCCAAACAGTGTCCGTTCATCAACATGCAAACGCTTTGACGAATTTTTATCAAATTTAGATCTGTTGTTTCCTGTGACTAAATGAAGGTCAAGTTCAATTTTCACGATTTTAGCTTTTCTTGTTGTTGAGTTGTCGACCTTTTAATAACCAAATGTTATACTTATTATATGATTGAGTTATTTCCCTTTGAACAGAAATTGTGATTTGCAAATATCATTTTCATTAGATAATAATCTATTTTTATTAACGGATATATTTCATTACATTACATTGTGTAGATAAAATTGTTGACATTGATAGATAAGTTGCAGATCTATATTAGTTTGTGACAAATGAAAGAAAAAATATTGGGAACTATTAATTAGGGCCCCGCCGAATGGCGGACGCCCTATATTGATCAGTCTGTCCGTCCGTATTACTTGACATGTATATTAACCAACACCAGAGGGTGTTTCATAATGTATGTACAACTTCCTAGGTCAAAGGTCAAGGTCAAATACTTTGGTTTTAGTTGACAACCCCATGTCCTATGGTAAAGATCGTGTCCGCTCTATATCTTGAGAATCGTTATGATTTCAAAATTTATACTTGACATGTATATAAACCAACACCAGAGGGTGTGTCATAATTTATGTACAACTTCCTAGGTCAAAGGTCAAGGTCAAAAACTTTGGTTTCAGATGACAATCCCATGTCCAATGATAAAGATACAAATTTTTTACCACACATTATTCACAGCGGGGCCCACAGAGATGGCTCCCATCTCAATGATATCTAGTTATATATATAAAGTTTGATTACACCAAGTGTTTTTTTAATAATTTTCACCTGTTATCAGATAACAAAGCATCTGGTAAATATCTTATCACACAATTATAATTGGAGTGACAGATTTATTTGAAAATTTTCTCCTGTCTAAGTGTTGATGATAAGATCTGTAGGACAGTATAAATAAAGTTTTAAAATTTACTGTTCATTATTAGACATTTTGAAGATAATTACAGATAAGTTTTATAGATTTTTAATAGATATTGTATTAATGATAAATGACATTTTGGTTTTTTTTTTATTCCTTTCTCCTTATAAATTGTTTGAAGAATTTTGTCGTAGGTTTGTTTTGGTATTCTGTATAAACATATTTTCTCAATGCTATATATTTTTTTTCATGAAGCGAACTCCTTTAAAAACTAAGCTAAGTTTGTCTATTAATAAACATATATTTAGATTTCTGATTTTGGGCCCAGTTTTCAAGTTGGTCCAAATCGGGGTCCAAAACTATACTGTGTTTGATTTCAACATAAATTGAATATATATAGGGTTCTTTGAAATGCTGAATCTAAAGCTGTATTTATTTTCATTATTAATTAGATAATACCACCTTGAGGTCCAAAGGGTCCTAAATTAAACTTTTGTTTGATTTCATCAAAAATTGAATTCTTGGGGTTCTTTTATATGCTGATTCTAACAATGTACTTCGATTTTGGATATTGGACCATAATAGGTAAATGTCCGATTTCAAATTTTTCAGTTCTTTGACTGCATTTATTTTTCGTCACAAACCTATGCCAGTGATCGGGAAGGACGTGCGCCTTGCGCCAATTGCGCTTATCGACCAGAAATGTCACATAGAGTGACAAATGTAAGCGCCCGCGTGGCGCATGATATTTTTTCACTTCGTTTTGAAACGTTGAGATATCGTCAAATGGATTTCCGATCGTATTTCCTGTCGCCATGTGTGAGTACGCAACTGTGTAGTGTTTACTCCAATGATAGGAGCACCTATATATTTTTGGGAAGTCTCGGGTGTTTTCCTATGGTAATAATAGCAACATGCGGTATGACTGATTACCCAAAAATGTAATTAACCATCATTCATGATATAATTTTTTATAAACAACTTTAAGTTTGTGAAAATTGGCTAGTACAGGCGAGAATTCTTCTCTAATTATAATCTGTTAAGTAAGCTTGCTATTATTTCGATTGAAAAATCCAAAAGCCTTTTTATTAATAGCATAGTATTTGTCTCCATGAAAGGGGCTTAACTGTCCTTGTGAATTTTTTGGGTCTTTGGCTCGTTTTGACATTTTGTAAACATGCCTTCAGCGAACTGTTGTTGTGTCTTATCAATTAACGTTGCTCTCTACTGTTATTCTTGTCATCGTGATGAAGTAATAATAATACAAGTGCAGAGGAAATGCCAGAAACGTCCTCTAATACGGAACGTCTGGAATAAGTATGGTATCGACGAAGACCCAAATTTAATGTAAAAAAAAACATGAACATGAACAAGGGAACAGTACCAGTATTAACATTGTAAATAAAGGTTTTCGTAAATATTGCCCGGTTTGGAAGAAGTTATTGTATATTCATTGAAATTGAAATTACAAAATCACAGGAACAATATCCATGATATTAATTAGAATCATACTTGTTAGTACAGTGAAATATACACTTTTTAATTTAATTTTTTTATTGTAAACGAATGGCCCACTCATTTGACAACATGGCCCATTAATTCTAAAAATGGCCCATTGAATTTATTTTTGGGGGGCCCTGGGCCCATAGAGAAAAAATCCTTCCAGATCACTGCTATGCTGTGTCAAATATTCAATCACAATCCAAATTCAGAGCTGTTTTAAGCTTAAATGTTGTGTCCATACTTGCTCAACTGTTCAGGGTTCGACCTCTGCAGGAAAATCCGGTTTGCTGTCACTCTGACAGCCTCTTGTTGAATATTTGCCTAATAAACTTCAATAGTATAATAGATAGATAGAAACTGTTTAACAGCAAAAGAGATCGTAAGAATGCCAATATGACACAGACTGTTGGCTACCCCCTATAAAAGACTTCTTACTAACTTCTGAGCTTTTGCCCATTATTTCAATTGTTTACAGGTGAGTGATGCAGGCTCTTAGGAGCCTGTTTGAATTTTTATTAATTTATGTAATGGACACACTTTGACATCAAAATAAACATGTTAGGCCATTTTCTTAAAATGTTAAAGCCATGTACCAGAAATAGTACATAATAATAATTATTTGATTATTATGGCTGACATGAAATGTTTCTTAATTTTATTTTGACATTGAATTTTTCAGGCAGCTTTGATCTTAGAAAATGCAGGAATTAATCCAGATCGTGTTTTGGGTGGACAGCAAGCTTCTCAAGATACTGAGAGGGTAGGGTACTGTCCCATACCCCTACCCCCTCCTAAAAAGATGTTACCTGATGACACACCTGTTGCAAAAAGATTGTTTATTGTGTGTCAGCCGTCAGGAACACCAGAGAAGATTTTAAGAGATGCATTCTGTAGAATGGGAAATCTGATAGATGTATATTTGTTACCAGGTAAGGTTAAACAAAATCTTTTGATTTTCTTATGCTCAAGTTACAACTCATGATAGAGTCGTACCAGTCATTTTATGCTCACACCGTTTTGAAAAGATAAAGATGTTTTCACTTAATACAGGATTACTATTATCCAAAAAGCAGTCTCATTTAATTTTATATCTAATTGATGAGGAAGTCATTATTTTTGTCCCTCTCTGTCCTAAATATGGACACAATAGATGACCTTGCTTAAATTGTGACAATTCAGTATTATAATAGGTAGGTAAACATCTTTTCATTTAGTAATGTTTGTTCTGTATAAAATAGTAAGTGAAATATTTGGTGTCCAAGTCAATTTAATAAATATTAAGGAAGAGAGTTCTAGTTTTATCTAGAGCTGTAAAATGGCATAAGAGTAACATCACTAAACTGAAATCATTATATTGACTTTTAAGTATAACAAATTTTCTCATTTAAGCAAGAAACTATGGTTATGCTAAGTATGCAACCATAGAGTCTGCTATGAAAGCTATAGAATTATTACATGGACAAAACATTGGAGGAAATCGGTTGAAAGTCATTGAAGCAGAACCTACAAGAAAAGATTTTGATGATGAACCATATAAAAAACAAAGAACCTGAAGGTAAGATGCCCTTGTACATCTTGTCAATGCACTGTTTTCTTATTCACACTAGATTCTTGTTTAAAGCACTTAAAAGACTTTTTAAGCAGTGTTCACATTGCTGACATAACTAATCTGCTGTAAAAGGGCTTACTTATAAGTTGTTATCTGTAACCATACTTATGTACTGTGAATTGTTTCTGTCATTGATTACCTAAAAATAGTTAATGGTCAGAACTGAAGTTAATATGAAGTTAGTACACTTGAGTTAGAAGAACACGATATTTGTACTTATGAAGTGACTTATATATCATATGAATTGAATAGAAAACATCTAGGCTGATCTTATTAACTTGTTGCAATTAGTATTTCAAATACATTTCTGACTTCAGAGCATTTTTACAGGTAGTGTAAGAAATGATTTTTTTATCACCACTATAATTAATGTTTATATAAGGAAAATAAAAAGGATTTTATTGAACTACAAAAAATCATGTGACTGAATAATGGTACACGTATTGTCATCTTTATTTCTTCACATTTATTTTTTGTGCTTTGCGTGAGCTATCCTTTAAAAAAATATTTTATAATGTAATAGCCTTATCAAGATGATCCAGGCAATATGAGCATATATGTGTATATAGATATGATCTGTCAATACTCTTGAGTTATGACAGTATTGGTGTTCTAACATTGTCTTGATTAAGCCAGGTCATATAAGTTTTCAGACCATTAGGATATTGATAACTATTTATGATATAATGTTATCAATATTTCCAGACCATTAGGATATTGATAACTATTTATGATATAATGTTATCAATATTTCCAGATACGAAACTTAATACAAAAATATGGAGGACATAAAAAAAAAATGCCAAGATATTTAAAACAAAGAAAATCTATAATTTTAAATGATTTTAAATAATATATTGACATTGACACATTGGTATGATTTTGCTTTAAAATATTGATGCCAGGTTCACAATATATGTACAAGATACATTTTCTGGGACAAAATAGAAAAGAACTTAATTTACCTCGAAAATAGACTGAAAGACTTTACTAGGGACAATTGGAAAGAAAATTGAAGAAGCTGTGGTTCAAAATTTAAAAGCTGGGTTGCACAGTAATTTATAATGGCCTACACTATTAAATCAAATTAACAAATATGAAATACTAGAAAAACCATTGATGATCTCATTCATGTAGAGATCTCTAGCTGATTTTCCAATTCTACAAGACATGATTTAGTCTGCATGGTTAGATTGATTTGAGTGTAATAGACCATTTAAACTTTCGGGATTGAGATTACCTGCAATATGATATGAGATACATATGTTGTACACATCAAATTTGGTACAGGTGTATATTTATTACTGGTTAAAAAACTCGATTTTTATATGCCCTGCCTAAGATAGCGGGCATTATGTTTTCTGGTCTGTGTCTTCATCCTATATTCCGTCAGTCAGTTTGTCCCTCCATCCTGTATAGGTTTAAGTTTGTGATTAAGATAGTTTACACTTCAAATTTTAGTCACATCAACTTAAAACTAAGCACTTTATGATATGAACTATTCAAATATATACCAAATAAGGGTTTTGACTACAATTTCATGGTTAACTAAACATAGAAATGTGATATTGTGAATATAAGTACATTCACAATGTAAAGATTTTGGTTACGGTAGTTTTCCATAAAGTTGTGGTTATCAACTTTAAAATTAGTACACATGTTCATTATGATATGAACTATTTGAATTATATGCCAAACGAGGGTTTTGATCTCGATTTCATGGTTCATTGAACATAGAAATACAGTACAATCTGGTTGCTGTGTCCTAATGACACAGATTCTTGTTTGTATTTGATTTTAGGCCATTCATGTCGTCATTTGTCTTTAAAAACCACCTGCGTTAATTTGCTGTGAGTTATATCATATTATGCCAGGCTTAGCCCTTTATTCATTATTTTATATGCTTACAATAGATAATTATTACATTTATATTTCATATTTTGATGCTTTTTTTCCACAGACATTTTTACATGACAGCTGGAGGAAGAGACTAAGACTTTTAACCTACTGACTCACAGCATTGGACATAAAATGATGAACCGACAATAGTTTATGATTGAGTATCAAGACAATAGAGACTTCACCACTTGACAGATATATATTGTATACAGACAAACTAAAAGATCAGACACAATACTGAAGAGGATGATCTACAATACTTTACAATACATGACCAATGTGACATCCAGAAGGCTACTGACTTCTTTTACCATGAAGACACATATAATCCAAATAAAAATTACACGTAACTGCTATCAAAAGAAATTTGACAAAATATTTTGACTTGACAATCAAATTTTTCCAAGATTTAAAATTATAATTTTATATTTGAAAAAGTTCATACTAGGTGCAAAAATTGGAGAAAATGTACATTTTAATATGTTAACCTCATAGACAACATCAATGGGTATTATTGAATCAAATTTTAATTAAGTTTTATATAAAGTGCCATAGCTTTATGTCTGAAACACATTTAAATTTGTGCTTTTGTGTTATATTTCCATTCTTAACTATCATTCACACAATGGTTTAATAGACATGTATATTTTTTACCAGAGGAGCTAGTTCACACGTTTTTATACAGTCTACAGTTAAAACATAACTGAAAAGATCATCTCTCTTTAAAGGGTACTATTTCCTGAATATTGTTTTTTTTTAATAAACCATCTAAGAATGTCTTTTCAGGGATTGTAACTTAAAAATTGAAATTACCATCTAAAATTTTTACATTTTTTTTGGCTGTATTTCATTTTACTTAAACAGATTGAATTTTCATAAAAAAATCTAAACTTTTTAGCATTGTATAGTTTCATGAACATTTAATAGTCAGAAACCCTCACAGCACTATTTTCCATGTTGTAATTAAGGTATTAGTATGTAAACAAGTAATTGTATACTTATGGATTATCCCATTTAAACATTACATACCTCTGTAAGGCAGTCACCTTAAAACAATTCTATATTTGGATATATTTGAAATTTTGAAATCTTTTAACTGGTCAACAAGAAACTGAATATCACTCTTTATTTTGATTTACTTTAAAACCAAACCTTCCTTGGGTAGATGGAATTATAACTAACAGCCCTGAAAACTTTTCATTGTGATACTGAAAATGTACTTAGACTCTTCACTTTACCATATTTTGTTTTAAACATTATTTTGAATTACTTTAAAACATGGGACCTCATTACTAAAATTGGTTCATATTATCATTCATGTATAAAATCATTACTATCATCATACTTAATGTTTTTTGTTTCAGTGTTGTTGTAGTCATAGATACAATAAAATATTCAGAATTTTAAAACCTTTATCATTACCATAGTAAATTTTGGGTAATATTTATTATTACTGCAACTTAATTCGCACTTGCCCAATATTAAGGGCATGTGTGATACAGAATCTGGGGCAGATACTAACCAAATAAAGAGTTTGAGCCAATTTGACCTGTATTTCAATCACAGATTTTTAAATCTAAAAGGTTACAAAACTGAGGGGGATAACTTCAATAAAGTCCTACAGAATCTATTGTCAAATGTATGCCAATGACAGCAAAGCAGACAAAACCAACCACAAATTCCTGACTCCTAAAATAAAATTAAGACATACAAAGCAATAAGAACAACATGAACAATAGATGGGGCCAGATTTCCTGACTTGGTAAAGGCACAAAATGTGTAGAGGTTAAACCAGTTTTATATGTGCATAAACCTCCCTCTTTGCCTAGACCATATGCTGTATAAGTTTAAAAAAACAGCACAGTCCAGCTACCAACAGGTAAACAATAACTTACACAAGGAAATAAATTTGCATTGCTTGAAAATACCAAATCTAATTGTACTGGCTTTGAAACAGGAGGAAAAGTATTGCTTTGATACAGACAGGGTAGATGAGATTAAAGTAAACATAAACATAAAGTGACATAAACACTAAATCAATATCATCATTTAAACAATATTTGGAAAGTATGCAAATATCACATATCATTTGTATGGTGAAATGACTCATTTCATGGATCAGTGATCAAATTTACGTTTTCAGGGTCAACTCCATATCTCTGATACCATAATCAAAAGGTCGGCTAAATTTGGTGTATGGAATGATTGTAAGGTATACATGTGCCATTGGCAGGTTTCATCTGATCTTGACCTAATTTTTATGTTTCATTGGTCAATGTTATGTTTTTGTTGGTCTGTTTCTCAGATGCTATAGATAATAGATTAGCTGTATTTGGTGTACATTGTATGGAATGATTGTAAGGTGTACATGTCAGTCTGACAGGTTTCATCTGACATTGACCTTTTTTCATTGTTAAGTTTTTGTTGTATAATATATTTGTCAGATGCTGTCAGATGCCGTAGCGGAGGGGGCATTAAGTTTTACCCTTGTCCATCTGTACGTCCCAAAATTGGTTTTTGTTCTCTAACTTTAGTTTGCCTCAACCAAATGTTATGAAACTTATACACAATGCTTATTACCCCAAAACACAGATGAAGTTTGAATTTATGTGGCGTCACTTTTACCGTTCTAGAGTTATGCCCCTTTACAAATGGAAAAATTGCTGAATTTTTCGTTTCCGTTCTCTAACTTTAGGTTGCCTCAACCAAATGTTATGAAACTTATACACAATGCTCATCACCACAAAACACATATCAAGTTTTAATTTTTGTGGCCTCACTTTAACCGTTCTAGAGTTATGGATCTTTATGAAATTGTACTACAAGGTTCCATATCACAAAGGGAAAGCTGGAATTGAGTTTGGGGGTAATTGCCCAAAACGTTTAGGAATAAGGGGCCAAAAATAAGCATTTTTCTAGTTTCCAGACAATAACTTGTGTTCAAGTGTATGGATCTCTCCGAAATTGTACTGCAAGGTACCATACCACAAAGGGAAGGCTGGGATGGATTTTGGGGTTAATTGCCTCAAAAAATTTAGGAATTGGGGGCAAAAAAAGGGGCAAAAAACAAGCATTTTTCTAGTTTCCAGACAATAACTTGTGTTCAAGTGTATGGATCTCTCTGAAATTGTACTGCAAGGTACCATACCACAAAGGGAAGGCTGGGATTGAGTTTGGGGTGATGAATCATAAGGGGTTCAAAAAATTTGGGGGAGGGATTTTTTTTTCCTTTTTTTCCTTTTTTTTTCTTTAAAATTTTCCATTTTAAATTGGTTATTTCTGATTTTATATATAAAAGTAAATAATAATGATATGGTTTGAATAGGTGAATTAAATTTTTTTAAGTTCTTAGACCACATTCATTCTGTGTCAGAAACCTATGCTGTGTCAAATATTTAATCACAATCCAAATTCAGTGCTGTATCAAGCTTGAATGTTGTGTCTATACTTGCCCCAACTGTTCAGGGTTCGACCTCTGCGGTCATATCAAGCTGTGCCCAGCAGAGCATTTTATTTTCCTATTCTTTGGTAAATTGTTTGAAGAATTTAGTGGTAGGTTTGTTGGTCATTCTTGAAGATATTGATTTGATAATAAGTATATAGTTTTATCATGACAAGTTACAGATCAAGTTGGAATTTTTGAATTCTGATGATTTTGTGCAGAGTTATGGTCTTTGGATATAGAAAATTATCTTAATTAATCAGTTTTCAACGGTTTTTTTCGTCATGCTTGAGGATTTTGACTTGATATTTTTATGTAGTTTACACCATGACAAGTTATAGATCAAGTTAGAATTTCGTTCCATTACAATGAATTTCTAACCGTTAGGGGACTATGTATTGCCATGCAATACTCACAGAATGCTTGTTTTTGTATGGGATGATGGTAAGGTGTACATGTTGGGCTGGCAGAGTTCATCTGACCTTGACCTCCTTTTCATGATTCATTAGTCAATATTAAGTTTTCATGGTTATGTTTGTTTATCAGATACTATAAGCAATAGGTCAACTGTATTTGGTGTATGGAATGATTGCATGGTGTATATGTTGTCTGGCAGGGTTCATCTGACCTTGACCTCCTTTTTGTGATTCATTAGTCAATATTAAGTTTTCATGGTTATGTTTGTTTATCAGATACTATAGCAATAGGTCAACTGTATTTGGTGTATGGAATGATTGCATGGTGTACATGTTGTCTGGCAGGGTTCATCTGACCTTGACCTCCTTTTTGTGATTCATTAGTCAATATTAAGTTTTCATGGTTATGTTTGTTTATCAGATACTATAAGCAATTAGTCAACTGTATTTGGTGTATGGAATGATTGCATGGTGTACATGTTGTCTGGCAGGGTTCATCTGACCTTGACCTCCTTTTTGTGATTCATTAGTCAATATTAAGTTTTCATGGTTATGTTTGTTTATCAGATACTATAAGCAATTAGTCAACTGTATTTGGTGTATGGAATGATTGCATGGTGTACATGTTGTTTGGCAGTGGCAGGGTTCATCTTTACTTGACCTCCTTTTCATGATTCATTAGTCAATATTAAGTTTTCATGGTTATGTTTGTTATTCAGATACTATAAGCAATAGGTCAACTGTAGTTGGTGTATGGAATGATTGCATGGTGTACATGTTGTCTGGCAGGGTTCATCTTAACTTGACCTCCTTTTCATGATTCATTAGTCAATATTAAGTTTTCATGGTTATGTTTGTTATTCAGATACTATAAGCAATAGGTCAACTGTAGTTGGTGTATGGAATGATTGCATGGTGTACATGTTGTCTGGCAGGGTTTATCTGACCTTGATCTTAATTTTATGGTTCATTGGTCAATGTTCAGTTTTTAGGTCTGTTTCTCAGATAATTAAATGTATGGTATGATTGTAAAGTTTACATTGTCTGGCAGGGTTCATCTAACTTTGACTTCATATACTTGGATCATTGATAATGTTAAATTTATGTGATACAATCATGATAAGTAAAGCAGGCGAGGCATTTCAGAGTGTGCATTCTTGTGTTTATATTAATTAAGATAACAGTCTCTTGTTTTTATGCCCCCGCTGTAGCGGAGGGGACATTAAGTTTTACCCTTGTCCATCCGTACATACGTCTGTACATCCCAAAGTTGGTTTCCATTCTCTAACTGTAGTTTGCCTCAACCAAATGTTATGAAACTTATACAAAATGCTTATTAACACAAAACACAGATCAAGTTTGAATTTTGGTGGCGTCACTTAAACCATTCTAGAGTTATTAGATATAAGAAGATGTGGTATGAGTGCCAATGAGACAACTCTCCATCCAAGTCAAAATTTATAAAAGTAAACCATTATAGGTCACAGTACGGCCTTCAACACGGAGCCTTGGCTCACACCGAACAGTAAGCTATAAAGGGCCCCAAAAAATTACTAGTGTAAAACCATTCAAACAGGAAAACCAACGGTCTAATCTATATAAAAAACGAGAAACACTTATGAACCACATCAACAAACGACAACTACTGAACATCAGATTCCTGACTTAGGACAGGTGCAAACAAATGCAGCGGGTTTAAACGTTTTAATGCCCTTTACAAACAGAAAAATTGCTGAATTTTTTGTTTCCGTTCTCTAACTTAAGTTTACTTCAACCAAATGTTATGAAACTTATACACAATGCTTATTACCACAAAATGCAGTTCAAATTTGGATTTTGGTGGTGTCACTTTAACTGTTCTAGAGTTATGCCCCTTTACAAATGGAAAAATTGTTGAATTTTTTATTTCCTTTCTCTAACTTAAGTTAGCCTCAACCAAATGTTATGAAACTTATACACAATACTTATTACCACAAAACTCAGATCAAGTACAAATTTGGGTAGCGTCACTTTTACCGTTATTCAGTTATGTCCCGTTTTAACTTTATATGATATGCGAGCGCGGGCAGCATCTGTGTCCCATGGACACATTCCCTATTTATTTTTCATGAATTAAGTGAAAATAGAAATATTTGCTCCTGCAAATAAGGTAACCAAATGTAAATTAAACTTGTCAGTTTGGACATGTGGAAAAATACGTATGTATGTGTAAAATTGGAAATTAATGAAAATTTCCAAACACATGCAACAATAAAGGGTAATACAACTGTGTGTTTCTGTTTTAATGGCTGTTCTTCATCCTAAAGTCACAGTGCAGCCTTTGTAAGATGGACCCCCTAGCAGTGGTTTGAATCGATTTCTTTGCCAGGTGATGATAAAGCTACATCTTTACATTGAAGAATGTCAACAAATTACAGACTATAACAGGCAAAAAATTATAACAAATGTGTGAGAAAGAGTTTCAAGACCATTTTCATTTAAGTTTTCTAGTAATGCTTTGTGAGTTACAATTAAATCTTTTTCTTAAAGTTGATAAAATCTTCTGGATTTC